AAAAAAGTGTCCTTGTTAATAAACTATCTGATGGTGGGTTAAATGTTCTTAATTTTACAACTTTCAACCAAATTTTAAAAATTAACTGGCTTAAAAACTTTTTAAAAAATCAAACGAGTATTTTCAATATTGTCCCATATCATTTATTTGAAAAACTTGGGGGATTGCATTTTTTGTTGCAGTGTCCTTATATAACTGGCAAACTTCCCATTGCTTTGGCCAATTATCACAAACAAGCATTACTTTACTGGTCACTTTTGTACAAACACAATTTTTCTCCTAGCAGGTGTTTTATATGGAACAATGGTAATATCACTCATAATAACAAGTCATTGTATATGGAGAATTGGGTTCGGCATAACATATTAATTGTAAACCAGCTTATTGACAAGAATGGGCAATTATACACTTACCCTAATGTTATTACAAAATATGGCTTTTTTGTAAACAAAAACAAAGTAATCAAAGTAATCAAGGCTATTCCTAGTGGCATAATCATTTTAACCAAATTCTCTGATGTAAATACAAGCCTAACAAGCCTACAAAATCTCCAACTTTTTGTAAATGGTCTCTCCTTTTTTGACAAGCTCTTTAATAACAGTTTTATAAGAAACTCCCTTAATGTCGGATCCAATCCTCCATGTAAATCAAAATGGCTTAAACCTCATTGTATATCTTGGCGCAGCATTTGGATGTTACCATATAAATATGTAATTTCTAATAAAGTAAAAGAAGTACTTTACAAAATTATTCACAGATATTATCCTGTAAATGCAGTTGTTAGCAGATATATTCATAGTGTTTGTGATAAATGTACCTTTTGTAATGTATCTGTTGAAGATATTGAACATTTATTTTTCTATTTCATTTTGGGTTGACTTTAAAATAGACCTAACAAAAAAATTCAACAAAGCCCTTAATTTAGAACCTCATGATATTTTACTTTGTTATCAAACCCCAATCTTTTTCTGATAAACATATTTATATTATTAATCTGTTAATTATCTTAGCAAAGTTTTATATACATAAGTCAAAAGTCATTCAAAAGAAACCATCATACATTACATTTTGTAACACTGATCTTAAAATATACTTTAAAACCCTTTCTAATATGAGATCACAAAATAAGAAGCTAATAAAAACAATACAAATTCTAAAGCTTTTCAAAGTTATGTAACTGCCCTAATGTATGTATGTATTTATTTATTTTTTTATCCTGTTATTTGTATTTTATATATATATATGTGTGTGTGTGTGTGTGTGTGTGTGTGTGTTTGTATTAATTTTGCGTTTTTGTTGTTCTGTTTTGCATGCTTTTCGAGATGTGCAACGTTTCCCTGTTTGCATTGTGCCTTTGTGTGGTGGAACTGAATAAAGTAACAGACTCTTGCAAAGTAACAGAAGCACAACCTTCTCAGTAATTTGAAGCATAATTTAGGTCAATAGCCAAAACAGTGCGGTACCAATTACAAGTGAAATCTAATGCTTAGGCTGGGTTTAGCGTCAAATCCCTAATCCTCAGTATGCACAATTTAGCATCTAGCAATTCCACGTGACTTCATAATGAATTCTATTTTATTCTATTCTATTCCGAATCCCGGCTGGGCTGTGTTACCTCTATGGAGACCTGCACAGGTTGTCTGTCCCCGCTCTTGGTGTGTGGCACTCCCTCAGTGTCGTAGGTGCCATTGTAGACGATCTGCTCCTCATCTTTGGACTGCTGCTCCAAAGGGAAGCTCTTTCCGCCGATTCCCATTGTGCTGAAATCCCATCGAAACAAGCGTCAGACTATCTGAAGAGACACACATCTGAAATTCCTTCTGTCAATTAAACATTAAAGGCTCGTGCACTCGTAACACATCCCCATGGCTCAGTTTTACAGCGTTTCTAAATAACTGCGCAAATCGGCTTATTCACCTATGCAGCAGTCTATTTAATTATATCACATATACGATATATTTAATTTCTTACAGGAGCGCAGGTGCACCTTCCGACCTCAGGATTGCGAAAAACATCGAGTGCTAAGAGCTATTTATATGCAACCACCTATAATATCAGAAGCATAAAAACAGGATCAGTTTAACCGCGTATTCGACTTACGTGGCCTCCGCGCTACCCGGCTTCACGATCACCTCGATTTTGTATTTCGATCCTGTCAGCAATTTGATTGTCCTGCTCTGGCCGAACCTCGTCCCGTCCACTTTATAAAACACGGGTCCGTCATTGGGTTGGATTTTCAAGGAGATCGCGATGTTTATTATCGCTGGAACGTCGGCCATGGTTGCGAGATAACGGAGGTCGATGTATTTCCAGGGCTCCCCGTCATTAACGGCATGGCGGATGGTCCCAGGAAGCTGTTGAGAGATGCTGTGACGTCTACACAAGCATCACACCCATTTTAACCATTGCAGCATATATCAATGCATATGCATATATATGGCTAAACTGGGCACATATAATATACCAATGGCCATTAGTCTCGCGCTGGGTAACGCACACTAAAATAGGCACTGCTACTCTCGATTGTTTGTTTATGTATTTTAGTCATGTGTGTTGTATTTTAGGATTCAAAAATATTGTAAATAGTTTATTAAGCAATAGATTTATATCCTAATCCCACTGTGTTAGCGTCCATCTCCGTTATCCTCGCGATTAAAAACAGTCCCTGTCCAAAGTGCTGAAACTGAAGAATCACGTAGTGCTTCTCTATTGCTACCGCATGCAGTACTGGGCCATTTTTATAATACATGAAAAAAGTACATTTTAAATGTACTAAACGCAAAACACTGCTATTACGTGTTTAGTGAGCTTGAAATGTCAATAAAACATTAATATAATTAACTAAATTAATTATAAACCTATTTTTAATAGGCTGTTATGATGTTTTTTGAAGAAGTATATACATGTTTACGTGCATTTTTGTCTTTCCAGAAAGCTTTGCAACAAATAGTAGTAGTTATATAAAAACATTAGTTCTAATTAAAACAGTATGTGCGTGGATTTTTAATGGTCAGTCAGACCAATAATAGTGTCCTTTTAAATTACATTCATGCCATTTTAAATAATATAATGAAGAGGAATATACATAATTTGATTAATCAGATAAGTAGGCAAGTTATATTCTCATTTAACATTCATAATAGTTTTATCTCACAGATTCCTCCATTATGAGTTCATAAGGAATAGTTCTCACAAAAAATACAATTTTCTGAAAATGTACTCACTCTCAGGCCATCCAAGATGTAGATGAGTTTGTTTCTTCATTAGCACAGATTTGGAGAAATTTAGCATTACTGTATATCACTTGCTCACCAGTGGATCCTCTGCAGTGAATGGGTGCCGTCAGAATGAGAAGTTTTTTTTTGCATTTTGCTACATTGGAAGTGTCCAACTCCACCCTCAACTACATATTGGTTAAAATATCTCATGTCTTTCCTTTCTCTAGAAAAACAACAAAAAGTACACTATTCAGGGCTCAACTGTTAAATTCTACAAAATTTGGAACCCCTTTCTAAATTTCTTTGTCTCTTTGACCTCACTAGATTCTGATTGAGTTTTTCAGTGTGTGAACATGTTTACATTTATGTACAGTACAACATGGTTGTGTATATACTTCTGCATGTATATTTGTTTTTTTCCCCTTTCTCTCTTCTCTCATTTGAATACATACTTTATTATTATATACATTTCATAAATTATTATATTTATCTCATATATATATAGTATTATTATATTAATGCAGTTTCCTGTCAATCCTCCTGAGGGGTCTATGGATGGGGGAGGTAATGTAATGTAATGTGTTAGTTTCGGTCTGATTCACTTTTTTCCCCCCTTTTCTCTCTTCACCTACAGTTTTGACTGTAATTCGGAGTTAAACATGGAGATAAGATAGGGAAAAAATGCAGACAATGTTCTCTGCACTGTATTGTTCTGTGTTTTATATCTGTCAGTGTAATAATAAAACCTGTGGAACAAAAAAATATATATCTTTTTTAAAAATGAAATAGGCTTTCCATTTCCACAGTGCTAGTTCATGCATACTGATTTCTGTATGAATACTGTATGAAAAAAGGCATTTTTACACTGCAAAAATGGTGCTTTTAAATGTAACAATATTTCTATATTGCTTTAAATTATTATGTGGTTCTAAAGACATATGCATATTACAGATAGCAGCAGAAATGGAAAGAGAGGCCAGCGCTGAAGAGGGAAGTATAGCATTAGGACACATAATATTCATTAATATATTAGCTTTGATATAATAATAGTTGCATGATTTAAGGCAAAACACTTTTTGGCAGTGACTCTAAAAATCAAATAAATTAACAAAAATCAATACTTAAATCAAAATGTGCACAGTTTTGTTGATCTATACGAAAAGAGCGAAGAAAAGATCTCTCTCAGTTCCATCTATAAAATGATTCCATCATATAAAACCTATAAAACCTTATTTTCCATTACAGTCTCAAGAAAATTACAACTAAAACAACTAAAATGTTCGGTAACAAAAGCCACATTATCATGTATTCTGGCCGCCACAGTCTTTGAACTTTTTTGCAATACCAATTATAAAATTATTTGCCCAGCAAGTGTTTCAGTCATAGTACTTCCATTGTAGACACAGCTGATATATTTCAGTCCATTGGCAGGATCCCAAAAGTCTGTCTCTGCTCTATCTATCCAGTTCCGCCTCTAGTATCTCTCCCCAGGTCTCCACGTCCAGTGGACACATGCTGTTGGGCGGGATATCATCAGCAGAGCGGATGTTACTGTATCGGCCCTTCAGCCACCGCCGCTTTGCGCAGCCTTTCCTGTAGTTACGCACAAGAGTAACCTGGAACAAAAAAGGAAAGGTAAATAAGAAACAACCAGCAGTGATGGGAACAAAATGAAGCAGAAATAACACAAACCTTCCATGTACACCCAACAAGCCTGTCCCCATCCACCTCCCTCCGGCAAATAGCCAGCACTGTAAGACAGTAGCTCCTCCACAGCTGATCGCTGGCCTCGATTATATCATTCCAGTGTCTGCAGGTGAGCGAGGCCCGGCACAAACTCCTGACATCCAGCTCACTGAAGATCCTAACACTCATCTCTGTAGGAAGGGTCTCTGTAAAGTTCTGCTGAAGTGGATCCTGGTCACCAGGGATCAAGTTGGATGCTTTATCTCGGCTGAAGATTGCGCTGTTGCTCCTTTTACAGACATTTTGCATCTCTCAGCGTCCTAGAACAGTTTCAGTTTCAGCAGAGTCCAACACCAGTTATTTGTATGACAGATCATATGTGACCCTGGAGCACAAAACCAGTCTTAAGTCGCAAGGGTATATTTGTAGCAATAGCCAACAATACATTGCATGGGTCACAATACCGTGAATATATCAAAAATTTATTTTTGATTAGTAATAGCATTGCTAAAGATTTAATTTGGACAACTTTAAAAGTGATTTTCTCAATATTTTGATTTTTTTTGCACCCTCAGATTCCAGATTTTCAAATAGTTGTATCTCGGCCAAATATTGTCCTATCCTAACAAACCATACATCAATGGAAAGCTTATTTATGACTTTATGACCATTATGACTGGTTTGTGGTACAGGGACACATATGACTTACAAATAATGCGTTATTTAAGCAACACAACGGTTATAGTGTGCGTGTAATTGAACGAACGATCGCACTATCTGTTCGTTCGTGGACAAAGTCACCAAGTAAATCTAGCTAACAGTGTCTAAAACAGATTTTAAAAACAAATACGAAACGGTCACATCTATACAACCCTATTCTGTACGATAAATTAATAATATTTATAAAAAACTAAACATGTTATTTGTAAAGATTCATACCGACGGAGGCGTCTCGCTGACGGCTGAGGATTTAAATGTCAGCGTTTGTTTACACCGGAAACCTCACAAGGCAAACCTCGCCCCTTCCTACTGCGCATGCGCGTCTCTCCAGCGGAAATTTAAAGTTGTTTTGATTCTGCATTATTGTAGTGCAGAATTTGAGTTATAGGTTACAGTTTTTATTATTCGTGTCCTAAATTTGTGCACCCTTGTGGGTAAACGTTTAGAAAGGGTCCCACGTGCGTGTTTATACAGCGCATGCTCATGCTCGTCGTGGAGTTCACCGGAAGTCCGAAATATTATTCATTTCTTGTTACACATCTCGTTCAGTCAACACAGTCAGCTTCTTCAGCATTTTTCTTGTACACAAAGCAGCGAAAGGTTGACTGTAACGAATTCGTCTTCGCAACCTAATTAAATAGTAAGCAATTTCGTTCTTAAAGTAATAATGGGAGAGTTTGTACTGAGGAAGTTTTAAAACAGCAGCGCATGCGAGCCCAAATCTGCTTTACAGCATTTGTATACACTTTATAGTTAATTACAGTGAACTTTAAGTACAAACAGGTCTGTGTGCCTTCTTATGCACAGATGCCAGGCTTTGAGCTGGAGCAGGTGGACGGTGGCAGTCCTATAGAGCTGCCCTATGGAGAAACTGTCCTGGGGAGAGGACCATTTCTAGGGGTAAGTGGACTATTAGTACTATGTACTGTATTTCACTAGTATGTCTTAAAAATATATTAAATAGCATGCTAATGTAATTTCCATTGTGCAAATTCTCAAGTTATAATTAACTAATAATAATTCAAGTGGCGGAACTTGAGCCAAGTCTGCTGTGCACTTTTACAGAAATGCATTTTCAAAGCTAAATAGTCATGGTGGAATTACCCAAATAAAATAGACTTGTCTGTATGCTAAAGCTGCATGTTTTTGTTTACATAGTTTATATAGATGTATGTTTTGGCATATTGAATGTTTTCTTCATGTTGGTTTAATGCAGAACACACAAAACAAATGTGTTACTTTCAGTTTCATGCATGAGCCATTTATCATTGAGCAATGACAATCAAAGCCCTCAAGATGGCACCCAAACTCTTATGTCTGAGGGTTAGAAATAGGTGATACTGAGGTGAAATATCTCATAGAGTGGTCCATGAATTGACAAAAAATGTTATGCATTGTACTAACAAACCTCAGGAGTCCTGACATTGGTTATAAAGCATAGATTTTCTTTTTTTTTTAAAGACCCAATAGAATCAAAATGGCAGTTTGCTTTAAGGTAAACTATATGCTAATGTACACATACAAGTTGACAGCCTTTAGCATATAAATAAATTATACATTTAAAATCTTTGTCTTGTGTAACCCCTCTCTCCCGGGTCCTCAGCACTTACTCGCTGGCCTCCGTTACACTTGCAAAAAAAACCCCATCTTGTTTGTCTTACGCCAGCTTCCTGTTACATAAGGAAATATGTCAAGACAAAACAGAAAGCTCGAGTCGTTTCATATCATGAGGTCTTTAATAAATCACCGAGATTACAGTGAAGTGGCCTCATGGTGTCACTGTAATGTTCTGCTACACACGATGAATGACACTGAGCTGCAGCAAACAATGTTTATGATAGTGGTGGGCGCCGTTGAACATTTATGACTGGAAGTGACACTGAATTCTCTTCATATAGGAATACATACACTACTGTTCAGTGATTTAAATGTTTTTAAAGGAGTATTTTAGTGACAGCAAAAAAAATAAAAATAATAATAATATTGTGAAATATTACAATTCAAAAGAAATGTTTTCAATTTGAATATATTTAAAAATGCAATTTATTCCTGTGATCAAAGCTAAATTTTCAGCATCATTACTCCAGGTCAGCGTTTGTTTACACCGGAAACCTCACAAGGCAAACCTCGCCCCTTCCTACTGCGCATGCGCGTCTCTCCAGCGGAAATTTAAAGTTGTTTTGATTCTGCATTATTGTAGTGCAGAATTTGAGTTATAGGTTACAGTTTTTATTATTCGTGTCCTAAATTTGTGCAACCTTGTGGGTAAACGTTTAGAAAGGGTCCCACGTGCGTGTTTACACAGCGTATGCTCATGCTCGTCGTGGAGTTCACCGGAAGTCCGAAATATTATTCATTTCTTGTTACACATCTCGTTCAGTCAACACAGTCAGCTTCTTCAGCATTTTTCTTGTACACAAAGCAGCGAAAGGTTGACTGTAACGAATTCGTCTTCGCAACCTAATTAAATAGTAAGCAATTTCGTTCTTAAAGTAATAATGGGAGAGTTTGTACTGAGGAAGTTTTAAAACAGCAGCGCATGCGAGCCCAAATCTGCTTTACAGCATTTGTATACACTTTATAGTTAATTACAGTGAACTTTAAGTACAAACAGGTCTGTGTGCCTTCTTATGCACAGATGCCAGGCTTTGAGCTGGAGCAGGTGGACGGTGGCAGTCCTATAGAGCTGCCCTATGGAGAAACTGTCCTGGGGAGAGGACCATTTCTAGGGGTAAGTGGACTATTAGTACTATGTACTGTATTTCACTAGTATGTCTTAAAAATATATTAAATAGCATGCTAATGTAATTTCCATTGTGCAAATTCTCAAGTTATAATTAACTAATAATAATTCAAGTGGCGGAACTTGAGCCAAGTCTGCTGTGCACTTTTACAGAAATGCATTTTCAAAGCTAAATAGTCATGGTGGAATTACCCAAATAAAATAGACTTGTCTGTATGCTAAAGCTGCATGTTTTTGTTTACATAGTTTATATAGATGTATGTTTTGGCATATTGAATGTTTTCTTCATGTTGGTTTAATGCAGAACACACAAAACAAATGTGTTACTTTCAGTTTCATGCATGAGCCATTTATCATTGAGCAATGACAATCAAAGCCCTCAAGATGGCACCCAAACTCTTATGTCTGAGGGTTAGAAATAGGTGATACTGAGGTGAAATATCTCATAGAGTGGTCCATGAATTGACAAAAAATGTTATGCATTGTACTAACAAACCTCAGGAGTCCTGACATTGGTTATAAAGCATAGATTTTCTTTTTTTTTTAAAGACCCAATAGAATCAAAATGGCAGTTTGCTTTAAGGTAAACTATATGCTAATGTACACATACAAGTTGACAGCCTTTAGCATATAAATAAATTATACATTTAAAATCTTTGTCTTGTGTAACCCCTCTCTCCCGGGTCCTCAGCACTTACTCGCTGGCCTCCGTTACACTTGCAAAAAAAACCCCATCTTGTTTGTCTTACGCCAGCTTCCTGTTACATAAGGAAATATGTCAAGACAAAACAGAAAGCTCGAGTCGTTTCATATCATGAGGTCTTTAATAAATCACCGAGATTACAGTGAAGTGGCCTCATGGTGTCACTGTAATGTTCTGCTACACACGATGAATGACACTGAGCTGCAGCAAACAATGTTTATGATAGTGGTGGGCGCCGTTGAACATTTATGACTGGAAGTGACACTGAATTCTCTTCATATAGGAATACATACACTACTGTTCAGTGATTTAAATGTTTTTAAAGGAGTATTTTAGTGACAGCAAAAAAAATAAAAATAATAATAATATTGTGAAATATTACAATTCAAAAGAAATGTTTTCAATTTGAATATATTTAAAAATGCAATTTATTCCTGTGATCAAAGCTAAATTTTCAGCATCATTACTCCAGTCTTCAGTGTCACATGATTCTTCAGAAATCATTCTAATATGCTGATTTGCTGCTCAAGAAACATTTCTTATTAGTATCAATATTGAAAAAAGTTGTGCTGATTTTTTTTTTTTTTTGTGGAAATTGAAATTTTTTCATCAATAGAAAGTTCAAAAGAACAGAATTTATTTTCAAGTGTAAAAATGTTTTGTAACATTATAAATCTCTTTACTGTCACTTTTGATCGGCTGAATGCATACTTGAATAAAAGTAAAGATTTCTTTAAAAAATCTTAGAGAACCCAAACTTTTAAAGTTTTGCACCGTTCACCAGAAACATTCATACTTTTTAAGATACAGTTTACCATTATAGCAGCATTTCACTTTGTCTTTGCTCTCCACCAGGTGAATGATAAGAGAGTGTCCAGAAACCACGGCATCCTTGAGAACCTGAATGGCCAGCTGCGTCTGAAGCCTGTAGGTTTTTGTTAGTCATCTGATGTGGGCTGAGATTCGTGATTGTGGTTTTGTCATTTTACACTCTTCTGTCGAATAAAAGCGGCACTCGCCCTTTGATGTTAAGAAGACATCAAAAGTTTTTAAATATGAGCTCTCTCCTCGCATCTTTTTCTCTTGAGCAGCTGTCTCTCTTAATTACATGTGTCGTTATAGCCTGTTAGTCATGCTGTCATAGCAACGATGATTGCATTTGGGTAATGTTCGCCTCCATTGATCTTTCGCCTCTGAGTATATTACAAGTCCTTGATTTCAAAAATCTCATGAATATTCAGATTATTGATACCTAACTGAGATAATACATTTTTTTTCTAGCTCCACAAGCTCAAATCAGTGTTGTTATTGTTAACTAAACAGGGACAGCGGAAAGCAGTGACTGAGTGATTGACAGCTAATATTAACCAATCTAAAATCTGCATTAAAGTTAAGAATGTAAAGATGAAGTTTAATTGGTTATGTAGCCTAACGTTTAATAGAACGGCAGACAGGTCACCTTATCAACACTCAGAAGGCACATACTCTGAACGTTTTTAGAGAAATTAAAACAGGTCGCACGACAACAATTATATGCACTCGCACAAATGCTCCCAAATATATTTTGAGGTCGCACAGATTAAATTTCAGGAGCATATGCGACCAAAATGGTCGCAATTTCGAGCCTTGCTAAAACTATTCAATTGTTTTTATTCATTGAAATACAGCTGAAATATATAAATATTAGATGGGAAAAAGTTAAAAAAGTAAACATTTTAAAAAGAAATTCAAGTTGTACTAAGTACAAATATATCAATAGAAGTATAAATCTAACAAATATGGCAAATGCTCAAAAATGGCTAAAACCTAAAAAAAAAAAAAAAAAAACATAATAATAAACAACACTTGCTCAAATTT